AAATGAAAATATGGAATAGTGGAAGTAAAATACATTTAATATAATAAAAAATAACTGGTTGGTTTAAGATAAAATTAATTTTTTTTGTCCTTGAATCTTATTAAACTTATTCAGATGGTAATTTAATTTTTTTTTTAACTAAATCAATAAAAATATAAAGCCATTTTAAAATTAAAAAAATAGTATACTTTACTCCTACTATTTCATATTTTAATTTAAACTTTATTTTTCATATCTAATCAAATTTGTTTGAAATTTAAATTAAAAATATATAGATGTATGTGTGTATGTGTATGTATATGTATTATTAAAATATAAAAAGAAAGAAAAATTAATAAATGAAATTTGAGGATAAATATTTAAAACTTCATATACCACAACTACTAAACATGTAGTTTCTCAAAAGCACTTTTTGGATTTTTAACGGCCGTTTCTAACAGAGTTGGATGGAGGGACGAAAATGTAAAAAATATTTTTTAAAGATGGAGGACGAAAATAATTACAAATATCAAACAACAAGGACTAAAATTGTAGTTTACTTTAAAAGTAGTAAATAAAATAGTGATACTTTCTAATTATTATTTTAAACTTGTTTCGTGATTAAGATTTCATTGTTTAAATTTAGAGGAATTTCTAAAAGTTTATAAAATAAAGAAATAATATTTTAATTATATTCCACTAATAAAAAGTATTTAAATTAAATGTGTAAACGAGATAAATAATATTTTATTTAAATGTATTAAGTATTATATTATTATAAATAATATTAGAATTGTTAAAATTAAATAGTTATTAGAGCTTAAGTTAAAACATTATATATTATATTATTAAAAAATTAAAACATAATTGTTAAAAATGCAATTACTAATCATAATTATATCAAAAAAATTATATTATATATTTTTTTAAATACTACACGACCTATTTATTATAAAGTTTTTTTTTTTCTTGCAGTTAATAATCATAATTATATCAAAAAAATTATATTATATATTTTTTTAAATACTACACGACCTATTTATTATAAAGTTTTTTTTTTTCTTGCAGTTAATAATCATAATTATATCAAAAAATTTATCTTTTTAGTTTTTACCATTCTTTCACTTTTTATTTAACAAATTCATTTAAATAATTGTTTATCCATACATTTACTCGGTAGGCGTTTACTGCTAAGAGTTAATAATTTACCTTAGATGCCGTTTACCAAATGCTTACCTGGGTAAGGGCTTACCAAGTTATATTACCTTACCGGATGAATATGATAAAGACTAAAAAAATCTTGCCCAGTAAGAGCGAAGACAATGACCGAAATTCTTACCCGGTAAGCGAAGGTGACGACTATTACCACGGTTAGTGTAAAGTTTTATCAGTAAACACTTACCGAGTAAGTATTTATTTGGAAAACAATCCCTTGTTTTACTAGATAAAATTGCAATTCATCAAAATTGTATTGCAAGCAACAATTTATTTACTAACCGCTTACTTAGCAAGTATTGTTATCAGAGGAGGCGAATGGCTTAAGGGGCATAGGGGGCCATGGCCCCTGTGCCTTTCCATCTCCTTGCTTAGAATAGATTAAAATTTTAATTATATAATAATTGAAATTTTACTTTGGCCTCCCTAATCATCATTAAAGACAACATATATCAAGTCTTGTTAATGTTTTTTTATTTATTTATTAACTTGGATATCTAATCCGTTATGCGAGCCGACTAATCCCAGAGCCACCACCTGCTTTGCAGATAGCCCGGAGTCATCGAATTTGAACCTCCGTGGCCACAAGGTGATTTTTATTGTCTAGCTAATGTTTTATTTAAATATTATTTTGATCTCTTCATTATTTGTGAAGCTGAATTTTGTTTATTTTACATTTTGATTAGGCTAAAAATTGTTGGTTTCTATAGTTAGAGCTAAATATTTTATTGTGAAACAACTGTTAAGGAGATTTAGAGTTTTAAAATGATAATTTTATACTTAAATAAATACCTTAAATATTATGATTACAAAATATATTGAAATGAAGTTTTGATAATATAACGATCAAACAAAGTCTTCATAATTGTAGAATTAATAAAATATTAATAACAACCGCGATAAAAAGTAATTGGTCGATTAAATAAACATTTATTACTGCATGGCTTAGATGAAAATACAAGAGAGATATAATCGGACTCCATGACATGATACGATAAAACAATGTAATCAGTTTTAATAAATGAATGATCTTTTGTATAATGTCCACAGGGACGGAACCTTATGGGGGCCTTTGGGGGCTATGACCTCCCCGTTTTTAAACTCAAATACTAATGCTTGGGGTTTGGAAAAATCTTAACCCAACCAAAGTGCAACCCAACCCAACCCAACCCGTACGGGTTGGTCGGGTTGAACTTTTGGTATATTAAAATATTTTTATAACCTTGAATATGTTATTTTTCTACTTATAAATTCTTTTTCATCATCAACAATTTGATACAACTTATCCATAATTCTTACGTATATCACATTCAATTAATTTTCTCAATTTACATATATATGTTCACAGTTATTGAACATATATATGAATGAGTTATATATAAATATGAATAGATTGAAAATATGTGTATATGAAGTATACATGATAGTGTAATTGTCTAATGTATATATTAATAGAAATTCAACAATCATATTAATCCAAGAAATAAAAAAGATATCGGGTTCATCGGGTTGAGTTGAGTTCAAATAATAGTAACTCAATATCAACCCCATACATACGGTTTGACAATTTTACAACTCGATTAGACATCGGGTTGCTTCGGGTTGGGTTATGTCACGTTTGTTTGGGTTGGGTTGGTCGGGTTTTTGAGCACCCCTAGGTGTGAATATGATAAAAAAATGATTCTCTCTCATTATATTCATTTTTGGTTTACATTCTCTCATGTTTTCTCCATTTTGGAGAGTTTTGGAGAGGCTGTTGAAGCAAAAATATGCGTAAAATCTTTATTTTCTCAATTTTGAAAAAACTATTGAAGATGCTCTTAATTCGGCCCCCGGACTACAACAGTCGTGTTCCGCCCCTGATTGTTATCCTCACTTACCGGGTAACACTCTCCATCATTGTCATCACTCTTATCTAATAAGATTCTCAACTTTTACCATGTTATTCGATAAGATATATAAATAATCCAATAAACACTTACTGGGCAAACGTTTAGCAAACGACTCCTACTTAATCTCGTAATAAATTTACAGACCCTTTTCAAAATCATTAATTACATGATGGCAAATGAAGGGGTAAATTATATATTACCATTTTAAGATAGCATGTGTTTTGATGTCCCTACACTCAAAAATGGGAAACATTGGGTCTTTTGCTTCTCAATTGAGATTGTACAAAAGTACCTCATCATCATTCTTCTCAAGAATTTAAATTTGCTTTAAAAGGAAGCCAAAATCTACATGGAAATTAATCACCAACTCTTCCTACATACCATTATAGATTAACAATCATTATTATAATTTAAAATATCAAAATCGAATAATATTATATTTATCTGTAATTATTTATCCAGTAACAGCCTCAAAATAAATGGTTCATATTTAAATTATTGGAAAAAAATCTATTTAAAGTTGCATATATGAACTTATATGGATAATTTATATTTGTTTAGTATTAATTCACATGTGAATATTACGTTTTTATTTGAATGTATCCGTAATCTTAACTTCAAAAACCTCCTTAAAATAAATATAGAATTGTGGGGGTTGTTGGAGCTTAGATATGGCATGCGTAAGAGGGGTTATGTAATTAGTACAAACTCAGCTTGGGACTCTACTCAAAAGTAGATTCATTTTCAAGACTCCTCTTTTCATGCATTTTCAAGATTTCTTGGTGCACGCTTAAATTAATTCCCTTTATTTAATTATATATAATATTGGGTTGGGTGCGGTTGAGAATGTACGTTATGGTGAAAAGGGTAAGAAAAGATTTCGATCTTTAGATCGATTTTAATTGAAGATCAACAGTATAACGAGATTGTGGATAATTAGTTCTCGTATCAAACTCAGTTAATGTGGTGGGGTGAGATTAAAAGTGATCAAGAGTCCGATTCCCTTATTACGTTTTTCACTTTTATCTCGTCTTTTCACACCATCCTTCGTCATATAATAAAAATGCAATTTTATATTTAAATATATGTAACCTTTGTTTCTTAATCGAAAGAAAACCATTAAAAGTATATAGAAATAACTTTGGCATACATTTTTGGAAATCTTGAAAAAGGTTTGCTTCAACAACTATATTAAACTCTGCTTTAAAATAACGAAAAATAGGACAAAGAAATGAGAAATCGTCAAATCGAAAAGAAAGAGAAAATATAGCATACTTGTTGGAGATGTTCTTAGGTTTTAGTAAGAACATTTTAGTGCCGTCAATCGTTTTAGTGTGATTATTATTTACTTGAAATTGATTAGGTGACAAGGCAAACATAGAGTGAGTTGGGAGGTGCATACTGTACACCGACAAATATTGCATATATCACCTTAGATCGCGATAAGACATGGTTCGAGAGGCAAAGTCCCAAAACCTCTACAGATTTAATGATGATGTTGATTTAGAAAATTATATGTTTCAAAGACAGACTTGATGAAATTCAGAAAGTTGAAATCCTTCTTCAATTAAGCCTTTCTTGAACTCTTGCTTCTAGGCTTGGTGCTTTTGACTCGATATCGTTTATTCAGTTGTAACTGTGATCTAATCCAATCTGTAAACAGCTGCAATTGTTATGTAATTATAAGTAAACTGTTTAATCGTCCATAACCATTGAATACAAATATGTAAATGGGGAATCTGAGTGTATTTAAGGACTCAATCTTAAGGCTTTGAGATTAGAGTTTTTCATTTGGATAATTAGTAAATCCTTGATATCATGATATTAGTAATATTTTTACACGATTTAGAGACGTTGGATTGTCAATTCTTTTGCTTAACGTCTACATAACATTCAAATGTAGAAAAACATTATCACACGACAGACAAGCATATAACGTACTCCTCATTAGTCTAAATTTAGGTTGATCGAACAAATACAAAAACAACATCGATCAACACATATCATCAAGAATCAGCCTTGTAAGAAAGCAGATCGGTAATGAAATTAGGGTTTTTGTTTGTTGATCAATTATTAGACACTAATTGGTTGATTAGAAGCTCCATTAATGACGTCATCTGTTGTAGCTAACGATGATCCATGGAGGAGTTTCTTCTTGCTCTCTTTGATGGCTGGATCTTCCAACACTACAACCTTGTCTTTGTCTCTAACCCCTACCATGTGGAGATGTTCAACATCCTCTCTCTCCTTCCCTTTAAACAATACCCTTTGCTCCTTTGGCTCCATCCCAGTCACCATTGATAACATCATCTTCATTTCTCCTGTGTTTTCACAATTAATCAAACAACAATATATATATATATATATATATATATATATATATATATATATATACACACACACATTAAAAAAGATTGTGTCTTTCTTCTTTACATCAGAAATTGGTATCAAGAATGCCAAAACAAACACATATATCTAAAAGGGTATTCGGTATTTGCCAAAAAAGAACTGTTTCTTTGAATGTTTCATCAGAAAAAATGGTATCATGACCAGTACAGTTCAAGAATACGAAAAGAAACATGAATATATATATATATATATATGTGTGTGTGTGTGTGTGTATGCATATATACATAAAGGGTTTTTGATGTTTCATAAAAAAGACTGTTTTCTTGATGATGTGCATATATGATGATGTGTTTGTTACACACACACACACACACACACACACATATATATATATATATATATATATATATATATATAAAGATGATGATATACCAAAAGTTGAAGTTGCTTGGATGGAAATATCATGCCATTGTGAACCAGTGACAACTCTAACCATAATAACTCCATCTGTTTCTGCTTTTAGCCCTTCAATGTCTCTTTTTTGTACAAGCATCCCACCAGGTCGCAATTCCCATTTGATTTCTCCGACGATTGTTGTACCACACTCCTTGTTGCCACCACCATCGCCACCGCCACCACCACCGCCACCACCACCACCACCACCACGACGTAACTTAGAAAGGCTCCTATGGAATCTTTTTGATCTCAATTTCATCATCTTTGGTAGCTTTAATTCTGCTAACTATCTGTTTCAGTTCTTTGTAAAGGGAGACAAGGGGCAATAGAATTGGAGGTACTTAAATAGTACCAGCCCTAGATAATGGGGTTTAGGGTGGACCCATGTTTAAAGCCAGAAAATAAGGTAAATGTTGATCATCATATCATATGAAATTAAATATTCAAATGACTGATTTTTATGTACCTAATAATGTCATTATTTTATCGGCCTCAATATAAATATTTATAATAAAAAGCACATAATTTTATAACTTTTATAGTTATTATATTCTTTAATTAATTAAGATAATATATGTACCCTTAATAAGAGGAGTTATAATCATACGGTAGTGTTTATAGATTGGATTTGACAGAACATGATGAAAAAAGATGAAACAAGACAAGAAATGACAGGATTAATTGTATGTCATATGTTTGGTACGACTAGAACATGACAAAATTATTAAAATGACTATATTATCCCTAAATGTTGTTCAATGTTATTTTATATCATATAATGATCGTAAATGACAACAAATCAATCAAAATATATTTAAGTTATTTAATCTATGATATCAATATTTTTTTATTAACATTCCAAGACCACATGTAAATAACATTTGTCATACCACAAGTTCTAAATACGAACATAATTTAAAAAGTTTAAACACAACAATCGTATATAACATTTGTCACGCCATCGTCAAAAGTTTAACATTTCAAGAATTGGGGCTGGAATCGAGAATGGAGGCTGTGAAAGTGAAGAAAAGAGGATGCAATTAAATTAGGTTTGTATTTTGATATCAAATAATAAGGGCTATATTGTAATCTCAAATTTAGTCTCATGTTGTTCTACCTTTTTTCGGTGGAACGGAAAAAACTTAAAGAATAGTCCCACTCAATCTTACTTTTGTCTCATGTTGTCTCATCTCGTTTTTTGTCCCATGACACACCAAACATGAGACTATTTATTTTTGTCACGTCCCGTCCCACCCAATCTGCATACCAAACACACCCTACAGGTTGTCACATAGTGGTCGAGACCTAGGAGGATGTGGTAAAATATCACATCTGCTTTGAATTCAATTCAGACGTCTAAAACACTTTTAACCACTAAGTTTAATATAATTTATGCTTTTTTTTATTAACCTGGATATCCAACCCGCTATGCGAGCCGACTAATTCTAGGGCGACCACCTGCTTTGCAGATAGTCCGGAGTCACTGCATTTGAACCTCCGTGACCATAAGAGGATTTTTATAATTAATGTTTTATAGTCACAATTAGGCGGGATTAATATGTGCAAAAAACTAAGAGAGCAATAAATTTATATTTCATAATTAAGGGTAAAATTGAAAATTAGATGAAAATAAATCAAGTTACTTATCACAATGAATTACATTTGTTCGATACAATATTGTCAATTAAAAGATTTAGAAAATAATATAAAGGAAAAATACAATAATTTAAATTAAAATAGAGGGACCGGATCCGAAAAAGTGAATGAAATAATTTCCGATAAAAAATTATAACGTTATTTAAATGACTACTGATTAATTCAATAGGGCCCGGATCCATAGCCCGTTTGTTCTTTTTCGGTTTGTCTTTATTGATCGAAAATATTCACTACTCAGATATTTTTGGTAGGATGTACAACCATCATAATTGAATATTTTGTTAGATTTTAGGTTTATATACTGATAATCGTACATTTGATACATACATATATATATATATATATATATTAAGTTGTTAAATCAAAATTGGATAATATAATACCACTTAGAGAGTAAATCGTCATATCAGCCTTTTTTTTATTAACCTGGATATCCAACCCGTTATGCGAGCCGACTAATCTCAGTGCGATCACCTGCTTTGCAGATAGCTCAGAGTCATCACATTTGAACCCCCGTGGGTACAAGAGGATTTTTATTCCTCCTTCGATTTGAACCTAATACTTTTGACATTTGGAGCCAAGCTCAAACAAATTAGGCACCACCCTTGTGGTTGCCTTTTTTTTATTTTTTTATTATGACACTTATTGAAAAGTGTTTTATATAACACTTCAAGAGTTGTCAAATAAAGAAAAGCTAATATGACAATTTGTTTCATGAAAAGTGTCATCCCAATGTTTTTGGAGGCCCAATTACACCATACTAGAATATATCTGAAATGAGTAATAAACAAAATAAAGTAAACTAATTCTTGTTATATTAAAAAAATTATAAATTAAAACAACAAAAACGTTTAAAATAGGAGAAGAATAAGAGTCGTTTTTGTTTTTTGATCTGTAAATTCTGAAATTAAATAGTCGTTTTTAACTTTTAAAGAAAATTAGATAGGTTTTCATTGAGGTCGAATCACAAATCTATATAACAGTGTAAGTGGCTGTTTGACAGTTGCTGAATGGTATGGTGCAGAATGATTAAGTTGTCAGAATAATTAAGAGACTTTCATGATATAATGCAAAATGAAATATAATTGTTTGATAATTGTTTACAACAAAATTAGGGTACTGAATGGTTAAGGGATGCCCAGAATACAAAATCATTTAGAGGGTTTTAGAACCATTAAGAGACAGATTTTTTTTTTGCCAAACAAGATTCGACTATTAAAGATTCAAATGCTACCTCTTAATAGAACTATTAAGAAGTAAACAAACAACCTCTAAATAATGAATATGAAGCACTTGTTTTATGATCTTCAATTTGGTGGTGTACTGTTTTGTTAAATCAAAGCTCGAATGGCTACTGTTAGTTTGTTAACGATATCATATATTGTTTTGGGCAACAACATTTTATCAAATATTCATTTTCATTCAGCACAAGATTAACGAGTAAAATGATAACTTTACATTATTCATAATTTTGATTCAGAACAGTTTTCAAACGATTATTTTCAATTTTTAACTAAATGATACAGAACTTGTTAATCATTATGACCACTTAATCATTATGAACCAAATGATTCAGGAGCTGCCAAACAACCCCTAAACCTTAAACACAAGTAAAATCGTGTCTCAAATTTCACATGTGAATAGACGGCTTTGTTCACATAAATTATATTAGATTTCTCAACTACGTGCCAATTATGTTTGTCCCAATAGATTTTTAAAGTGTAGAATTTGTTGAAGATGAAGACCAATTTTTGTTGGAGATTTTGACTTTTTAATTCTCTATTTTGGAGAATTTGTTGGAGATGCTTTAAGATAGTTTGTTTTTTGAATATATGTTTGGATGAAAGCTGACTTTTCTTCTATACTATATTATAAAGTATTTAACAAAAATTCTTGAAAATCATTTTTATGTATCAAATGTTGTTTATTAATGCATATAACTTAAAATTCAATATTACAAGTACATTGTACGTATGTACAACTTATTAAAACTCTATATTTGAATTTGTATAACTAACTGCAGATAAACATGATCAAATATTGGATAAGTATCTCATTTTAAATATAAAAAAATCCAAAATATATTTAGGATAATTATTGAATCATAACAAAATATTAATTGTTATCTTTATGAAAAAACCGTATTATTAAACCAAAAATAAATGATTTCATTATTAAATCTGAATTAAATTATAATAAAAAATTGAATTAATAAAATTACATAAAAAAAACTTATACTAAAATCGATATATTTTTTTTTAAATTTATTATACCTTCAAATTTATAATTTATTTAAAAAATAAAGACATTATCGTTATTTCAATACCACATAAAATCGTATTATAACATTGATGAGACAAAATAAAACGAAACATTAAATTCGAGATGTATCTCGATGCATTACATAAATACCATTCTAGTTAAAAATCTAGTTGGGATATCTTATGAGGAGTTTATTATCACTTTTCTAATTATAATCTCAATTATTATTAACTTTTCTTTATTATTAATTACTAACAACTATAATTATAAATTAATTTTAATTTTAGCTTATTAATGAATTTTAATTATCAATGAATTTTTTATTTTATTACTAATTTATATTAATTTCAAATTATTAGTTAATTTTAATTGTAGATTCGTTAATATTAATTATTGATTATTTAATTAATTTTTATCAAATATTTTTATAGTATTATTACTCAATATATTTAGTCGTTGTTAAATAAATATAACAATTTTAAAAATATTTTCGTAAATTATTATTTCAATGATATTCTTTATATAACAAACTGTATGTCGATCAACCTTGTTTTTATTAATATCTATACTATATTACAAAGCATTTGACAAAAACTGTTAAAAATTATTTTTATGCATGAAATATTGTTTATCAATACATACATAAACATAATCAAATACAGAATAAACATCTTATTTTAAAATCTAAAATATAATTAGAATAATTATCAAATTCTAACAAAATAATTAATTATTATATTTATAAAAAAAAATATTATTAAACCAAATATAAATTACGTTGTTATTGAATCTAAAATAAATTATAATAAAAAAATTACATAAAAAATGAGAAATTTTAAATAGTTAATTTGATTCTAATATCGGTATATTTTTGTCAAATTTTTATGCTATCTTCAAATTTATATTTTATTCTAATATAAAAACATTGTCGCATTTTTAAAATCGCATAAGACCATATTATAACATCGATTGGGATAAAAAATAAAATGAAATATTAAAATCAAGATGTATCTCTTTGCATTACGCGAGTACCCTTATATTATATGTAATAGTTATACAAATTCAATTTCTTTTTAACATTATATGAAATAATAGCAAATCAAATTGAAATCTATTAATTAACATATTTTATTATTTAATTTTTAAATATCTTGTTTAAATTAGTTAATACTATATTATTACTGAATTGCTATAAATATTATGAAATATTAAATTTTATTAATTTTTAAACATGTCATATTTTTCAACTAATTTTTATCAAACATATTTAGTTTATTAATTAACTTATCAACTAGTTTGCAAAACGTAACATCAGTGGTTTCATTTACAAACCAACTATTAATACATCAGTGGTTTCATCTAGTCTAATAAATATCTGATTCAACAAATATTAGTTGATCATAATAAATAAAATATAATAATATTTTATAAATATTTAAATCATAACAAATAAATTTTTATAGTTTTTATAAATATTTCAATTGATTTATTTAAATGGTTTATAAGGAAATTATGTTGGAATTATAAGCAAAACTCTGATCAACATATCAATGCATTCCTCCTGTTGTCCAATTGAAAGAAAGGCTGTGAAATGGCCAGCAAAGCACCCTGCAACTAAACTACGACATCCCCATTAATCTCGCCCATACGGAGTCTTCAAGAACTTCAATACCAAATCGCCATTTTTATCCTCTGCTCGATCTTTCTTTCAGGTACAAATTAACCATTTCTCTTTTTGATTGAATCCAACTGCCTTGATTCCTATCCTTTTGTGTTAAATCATGCTTTCCATCTCAATCCCCAAAATTTCAGCTTTAAATTTGTAAAAACGATGCAAACCCTGAGTATATGGCCATCAAAGACTGAATGTTTCTTGAATCTTGAATCCCCCCCTCATTTCTTGAGAAGAAAAAGTAGAAACCCTAATGTTTTTAGGGGTTTTAGAAGTGGGTTTCGATTTAGGGAGACTAGTGATGATTTGGGATATGGGTTTCTCTGCAGATGTTCTAGGGTTAATCTTTATGTAATTTGGGGGCCAAAGAAGCATTCATTTGGTTCATCTGTTGTCCCCTTGGCTCTGGCATTTGAAGAACAAGTAGTTGTAGGTAAAACAGATTCAAATTCTGCAGATGAATTGATAGATGAGGGTAATTGTGAGGTTCTTGATGATGTTCATCAAGATGGAGTTAAAAAACCCAACGATTTGGCCCTCGAATCTAGCAAAAACGATAGCGAAAACAAGGGTAAAAGAATCAATACACGAGCGTTAGCATTGAGCTTACGAGCTGCAAAAACCATAGATGATATAGAATTGGTGCTTGGAGACAAGGGTGATCTTCCCCTTCAGGTTTACTCCACGATGATTCGAGGATTAGGTAAAGATAAACGGGTGAATTCCGCCATTGTTCTTGTTGAGTGGTTAAAGCTAAAGAAACATGGTTCCGAACCTTTTGCCGGTCCAAATCTCTTTATCTACAACAGCCTTCTCGGCGCTGTGAAACAAGCCGAAGAATTCGATCACGTAGAAAAGATCATGAACGATATGGCTATGGAGGGTATAGCTCCGAATGTTGTAACTTACAACACGTTAATGGGGATTTACTTAGCTCAAGAACGCGAAACGAAAGCTCTCGAGCTCTTTGAAGAGATAGAGAAAAAGGGTTTATCTCCATCTCCGGCTTCGTATTCTACGGCATTGTTGGCTTACAGAAGAATGGAAGATGGTTTTGGAGCGCTTGATTTCTATATCGATTTTAGAAACAAGCACCGGAATGGTGAGATCGGGAAGGATGATAAGAAAGAATATTGGGATCTCGAGGCTGCGAAGCTAGAGGATTTTGTGGTTCGTATCTGCTACCAAATCATGCGAAGGTGGTTAGTTCGGACCGAGAATTCCAGCACTAACGTGCTGAAACTTCTAACATGTATGGATCAGACCGGCCTGCAAATAGACCGGTCTGGACATGAACGGCTCATATGGGCTTGTACTCGTGATGATCACTATACGGTTGCCAAAGAACTGTATAAACGGATTCGAGAAAGTGATTCCGAAATAAGCTTATCCGTTTGCAACCATGTGATTTGGTTACTAGGGAAGGCCAAGAAATGGTGGGCAGCTCTCGAGATATACGAAGATTTGTTAGATAAAGGACCGAAACCGAACAATATGTCATACGAACTCATAGTTTCCCATTTCAATTTCTTGCTAACTGCTGCTAGAAAGAAAGGGATTTGGAAATGGGGTGTTGGATTACTGAACAAAATGCAAGAAAAAGGACTGAAACCGGGGACTAAAGAGTGGAATTCGGTTCTTATCGCGTGTTCGAAAGCATCCGAACCTTTGGTTGCCATCCAAATCTTCACGAGAATGGTCGAAAATGGCGAAAAGCCGACAATTATATCTTATGGGGCGCTTCTTAGTGCTTTAGAGAAGGGAAAACTGTACGATGAAGCGCTACAGGTTTGGAAACATATGATCAAAATGGGCGTGAAGCCGAATTCGTACGCGTATACAATCATGGCTTCGGTTTATGCAGCACAAGGGAAGTTCAATATAGTCGAATCAATAATCCTTGAAATGCCGGTTTCTGGGGTCGAGCTAAACGTGGTCACCTTTAACGCGATTATTAGTGCTTGTGCTCGAAATAATATGGGTGGTCCAGCATACGAATGGTTTCAACGAATGGAGGTTGAAAAAATCGAGCCTAATGAGGTCTCATACGAAATGCTGATTGAAGCACTTGCAAAAGACGGTAAACCAAAGGTGGCGTATGATATGTATTTGAGGGCTCGGCTCGAGGGGCTGAGTTTGTCGTCCAAAGCTTATGACACGGTGGTTGAGTCCGGGGTCGGCGGCGGTGCGAGCATCAATTTGAGCTTGCTGGGGCCGCGGCCACGGCCGCCGGAAAAGAAGAAAAGGGTGGAGATTGGAAAGGAGTTGGCAGATTTGGGTGATGTTAGCAGTAGAGATGCAAATCAAGAAAATATGGGGACCGTAGATGATTAAGAATACATCAATGAGGGCTTTTCTGCCCTATTTGTAAAATTTGTCCCAACACTATTTTGATAAATTGATACTTTTTTTCATGACTTTTATCGGATAATTCGGAAAATCATCGTATATTTTGGTAATACTAGAGGGTACTCGTACAATGTAGCTAGATATATTTCGATTTTAATGTTTCGTTTTATTTTTTTTTTCGTCTCAATCGATATTATAATATAGTTTTATATGGTTTTGAAAAAACGATAATGTTTTTATTTATGAATAAAATATAAATATAAAGAATTCATAAAAAATAAAAAATATATATATTTGTATTAGTACCAAACTAATTATTTAAGATTTTTCTTTCTTAGGTATTTCCTTAATTTCATTTTTTTTTATTTTTTGGTTTAATAATATAATTTTTTTATAAAAATAATGATCAAATATTTTGTTAGAAGTCAATGATTATTCTAATTATGTTTTAGATTTTTTATATTTAAAATGAGATATTTATCATCTATTTGATTGTGTTTATCTACAGTTAGTTACATGAATTCAAACATGGAGCTTTAATAAGTTGTACTTATGCATAATTTACTTGTAATCCTGAATTTTAAGTAATATGCATCAACAAACAGTACTTCATGCATAAAAAATGGTTTTTAAGAGTTTTTGTCAAATGTTTTATAATATAGTATAGATGGTGTAAATTGTGATGATCTTGAAAATTGATATATAATATGTTATTTTACACAATTTTTTTGGATAAAATAACAACATACTTTTATAAATTATCTTATTATATTGTTCTACTTTCAGTTTTTCTTATTATAATAATATACTTTTAAAATATTTTTTGTTAGGGTATTATACTTTCAAAAATTTACTCGTTATAACATTGAGTAACCTTTTAAGTTAAATTTATATCAGGTTTCTTTGTCACCTCATCGTCCATGTAGGCTGTCCACATGTATGATAGTGCTGACATAACATTTCTTATTATAACATTATACTTTCAAAATTACTTTATTATAACATCACCAATTTCTATTACAATATTGTACTTTTAATTTTAATATTTTTATAATTTAAACATTGTAAATATAATCAAATATGTTTACTAGAAATTATAATATCATAAATTAAACATGTTTATAAAAGATCATTGTTTCACGAATAAAAATATTCATAAAAAAAACTACTCGCTCATCGAGTTCATAATAAATTTCATGACTTACTTTGTAATGCCAAAAACTAAACAAATGGTACACCTTCCCATTTAATTGCGTCATTGACAACAACCAAGCTACAAAACAACAAAAGAAAATGCAGTTTTGGGAGAGAAAAAATTGCTAAGTGGGACTTCTTTAATTATTTCAGTTTTTATGAAAGTAGAATTGATTTTTACACGGTGATTCTGTATGAACATCTTTACTTGCTAAATGATTCTCTTTTGTCATTTTCGTATTTATATATATCATCTATCTTTTTACACCGAATAATCCTGCTTTAACTTGATTCATTTAACAACATTCTGGGTTGGATTTACGTAAAACCAACTTTTTTTTGTGAGACTATTTTTTTACACTTGAAATTTTATAGCAAAACGTTATGAAGGTAAAAAAAAAATCTAACTTTCACACCAAAAACACTGTGAAGGTAAGTTTTAAGTGTAAAAAATGGTCTCACGAAAACAGGTTGGTCTCACGTGATCACAAGTCACGCCACCCCTTTTGATATAGTTTCTATAAAAAAAATTTACGTCAACAGGGTATTAAATATCTCTTTTTTTTCCATTTTGATTAGCTGAATATTAGACGAATGCACACATCAACTCATATACTTAAATTGGGAATTTGAACATTTTAGAAAAATGCATATTTTTTACGTAGAGTTTTTAAATTATGTATTAATATTAAAGAGATGGTTTAACACGATATCATGGTTTTATCTGTGTAGTACTTACGGGAATGCATCAATTCACAGACAACGAATTTGGGCGAAACCAATTGTATGATTCATTATAATTATCAATTGGACGTTAGAATTTGACAATTAATCAGATTCTGTTAATTTTGGGCAACCAATTTTAAACCAACCCAATAATACTATCAATGAGTATGGTCCAATGGATGATAATAGCAGAAAATGTCGTATATCAATAATAGAGTGAATCACATGTTTGGTTCCCATGATTTACACTTTCAATTGTGTCACATCAGCTTTCGCAATTACCTTTCATACATCTGTAATTCACCTATACTTTTACAAGTGGTCCCCATTATAATCTTTATTAACTATTTTATAAATTATTTATATATACATTCTAATTATTTTTAGTTAATAACATGACATATATTTTTATTTTATTTTAATTCAATGTTAATTATTTTTAGTTAATAACATGACATATTATATAAATGAGCCACGTGGTATGCATGTTCTAACGCTCTTAATCTCTATACCTAACTTTGTTAAAACGTTAACTTTTACTTGAGACCAGAAAAGAGTTATAAGAAATTCTTGATTGACATTTATTTAAATGAAAATATGTCATTAATGGTATTTAACACATTTAAATCCTATTAACATACATCAATTGAGAGATGTGGTGATCGATTTGGTAATGATCAATTGAGAGAAATGATAGATTAAGGTTAATCGATTGAGAAAACGTCATTACTAAAGGTTTCGAGAACAATAAGAGGCAAATAAGAGATCGGTTTACCTGCTTACCAGATAAAAGGATAATAAGATATAAGTGACTTTGAGAAATTAGAAAAAACACACAGTCTGAACGACCCCACCTCTTAACAAATCAGACATAAAAAGCTAATAAGAATTTTTTTTCAAAAAACATACAAGACCTTAGCGTAAAAAAAAGTGCAGGTAGAACTCAAGGAGATAGAATTGTCGGAGGTGGGTTTCGCAGAAAGAGGCTAAAGGTGTTGGTCGTGGGTTTCACAGTGGTCGTGAAGAGGTTCAAGGTTGAAGGACGGTTGGAGTTCGATGGTAGTAGAATTCATCGAAGATGGAGGTTGGAGGAATGAGAGTCGGAAATGGAACCATGTGTTATGTGTGTGTGTGTGTGTGTTTATATATGTAACGATTTTAAATTTTATGATAAAAAAAAAGTAGGAAAAGAAGTAAAAAGACCAAAATACCCTATTGAGTTACTTGAGTTAACATAATCTTTTAAACGGAGTTAGAAACAAAGACCAAGAACGTTAGGACGTGCATACTGGATGGTCCATTTTTGTAAATAATTCATTTTAGAGATTCAAAGTTGTTAAAAACAATAAACCACAAGGACCAATCGTGAAATTCACTCTAATACGCATAAGGAAGTAAATAGAGTATAGACTTTCTATTAAGCCATCGTTGGATGGCTTTATATCAATTGTATAGCATTATTGATTATTTATTAAGTAAACTCATTTAATATTTTAAATTAATTATCTAAACATTTTAACTATTATTTTTAAATATTTTAATTTAAATATTTTAATTAAAAACATTTATAAATAAATGTCTAAATAAATCGACTGACCAAAATAACTTATAAGTATAGATAAATAAAATACCAATTACAAATATCACATAAAATAACATCTTCATCATTGATATTTGATGGTCATTTACTCAAACACTTACCCGATAAGTATTTACCGGTAAGATTTAACATTATCACTTACCTTACCGGGTAAGATTTTAGTCCATCAAAACGACATCGTACGCAACAATTTATCCGATAAGCCCTAACTGAGTAAGAGTAAGATTCTCAATACTTGTCATCGCTCTTAACCGATAAGATTTTTGGTTCTTACCATATATATCAGTAAAGTAATGTGACTTGGTAAGAGCATATCGGGTAAGGTAAATGATCCCTTCAATGATGATTGAATTGGGTTAGTTCAATGTATTGGATTTAAACTATCATTCAACAACTGATCTGTAGAATTTAAATATTGAAATTTGGAATCCAATCCAATGCAATTATGATTTAATGTAACTTAACTGGTAAGACCTTATCCTGCTCTCAAGGAAAGAAAGAATAGTGACAAAGTTAAGTTTAGATTTGATTGTTTGCGGCATGGGAGCAGATTGCCTAAAAATACCTCAGTATCCATCAGTTTGAGTCCGTTTAGATTACTGATAGGTGGGTTTACACCCCACACCCTGATATCTAACCGCAAGTATACAGTGTCGAATCAAGTAATATGTACGGAAGTACGGGCGTCAAAACAGAGGAACTAGGTATTGAGTAACACAATGACTATACTATTAACTGGATGATTTGCTTGAATAATTAAATAACTAAATAAACATAAATAAATCTTGAACGAATTCAGAGAATGGAAAGTTGGAAACTTTATCAGGAGAAAAACAGTTGGGAGTTGGGGTCCTAATGGTTTCCACATAGAATACTTCAGTTGTAATAATTATCAGGTAATTCCAAATGATTGAATACACAATCACAAAATTCACGATTGCTCCCTCTCGAGTTATAATAGATTTGTCCCTGAAAAAGTATATTTTATCTCTCGATCTTGACACACGATTTCAGAAATTCATTAAGAACAAGATCGTAAGATAGTAGTATCAATATGTTACGCAGTAGAACTTATTCTTATTTTGATGATGAATCTCTACGAATACATTATTAATATTGCTTCAAATCTTCAATCCCGATATTAAATTCATGTTTCGTAGCTCCAAAATCGCTCCAGAATGACCTAAAATCGTCTCCCCAAGTGTTCTTGGGCGTAATGTGTCCAAGATGTGGAAACCCTAGCTGAAAATCGAATAAAAATGCTAAAACAGATTCTCAACCGACTTTCCAAGCTACTCAAGTCGCCTCAAAAGTTGCCCGGATTAGAAAGGTCCCCCAGATCATGAAACACGCGATCAAAGTCGCGTGGAACACTGTTTTGGCCATAAATTCTCCATTTTAGCTCCATAAAGAACAGTTGGACTCCTTTTTGAATATTCTATTCAATGAGTTAAACTACACGGAAAGTGGTACAAGAATAACGCTAAAATTGGCGTTATCAATTACATAAAGTTGTCAGAAGTTTAACTTTTAAACCATATAAAATTAATCGAGATGCACGTGATTTGAGCCGTATTAACGAATGTAATGTTTTTATAAAAATAAATAAACAAAAATTAAGAAAATAAACTAAAAAATTAAGCAGTCTGTTGAAAAATCTCGACACCCGACGGTTACTCAACTGCTCATTTTGTACAGAATGTCTTTTTTGGTGGCGATTCCTCTAAAAGTTCCAAAACTTTACCATTTGGAAACACCCCAAGTACACCTTCTCTGCATCAAAATATCTACTTATAATTCAATTCACATTAGAACCCCAGTATTCTGGTCGGCTTTTCTGACGGGTTTTCTTGAGATCCGAAGTTTGTGAAGAGATACAGAAAAAGCTCTAATGGAAACTGCAAGAGGGGTTTTGGTGCATCTACGCAACTTCATCTGTTTCGTGCCTTATTTCATTAGTCTTCTTCTTGTTGGTGTTCTTAAAGGTCACCCTCTTTTCATCTCTTCATCACGTTTTCTGCTTAAAATTCGCACTAAATAACCTCCGATTCAAATGGGTCTGTTTGATTTCAGGAGTCATTGTTGCCCCAATTGTCTGTGTGGTTATGACAATTGGGAATTCTGCGATTGTTTTAGGGCTCTGGCCAGCACATGCTGTCTGGGCTTATTTCTGCATTTTAAGGTGCTCTTTTTACCTAATTCAATTTGCTTCTTTCACATTTTTGTATGTATATAAATCTGTATCTATCTTCTGTCATATGGCAGTGCTAAACGATTAGGACCAGTAATGAAGCTGGTGGTGTGTATTTTGGTCACCCCACCTTTGGCTTTTTGGCCTGTTTGTGTTGTTGTGGGTAGTATTATTGGTGGCATAGCTTATGGCTTTCTTGGACCAGTTTTTGGCACTTTTAAAGCTGTTGGTGAAGGGAAGACCAATAAGTTTCGTCATTGTCTTATTGTAAGTAAAACTAGACATCTAAATTGTTCTAAAAATGTGTCAATTTTCTTTCGGTTTTCTTGATTATGGGGTTGTTTTCTTGAAATGTGGTTATCAGGATGGGATTTGGGATACTATCAAGTGGAGTTTAACGTTTGTTAGGGACTTAAATGATGTATGTTTGTATTCGTACTTCGCGATGATGGATGATCTCCGAAAACAAGACCCTCCAGGGGGTAGAATTGAGATTAGGTTCGATTCATTTCGATCTTGAAAGTTGAAACAGAGTTATTTAGGGTGGATTCTGTGTTTTAAAGCTCGGATTTCGGTTTGTATTGCAGGTTGGTTTATGTTCCTGTAGCCCTTTTGGTTGGGTTGTTAGGATTTGCGGTTGATTTTCCAGTGATCACGGTCATAGCGGCACTGAAAAGCCCGTATATGTTGGTTAAAGGGTGGCACCGATTGTTTCATGATTGTATAGGTCGAGAAGGCCCGTTTCTGGAGAGTATATGTGTGCCATTTGCGGGTCTTGCGATCTTATTGTGGCCTTTTGCGGTGGCTGGAGCTTTGTTAGGATCCATGTTGGCTAGCATCTTTCTTGGTTTTTATGCAGCTGTTATTGCTTATCAGGTCAATATTACAATTTACATCTCGATTAGTTTGACTTTTAAAGTCAGGAAAACGTATTTTCAACCTCGCAATTAACATGAATTCTTTCAGTTTTTGTGAAAGTTCGATGACGATTTTAAATTGGTTAGATAACTATACATCTTCAAAATGTTGATCATGAAGTTGTGGCAAATCTCATCTCAATTTTGAATATGAAAAGAAATAGAGTTGACCTTAAAAGTCTGAGCGGCTAACTTTGTGTTTGTGGCAACAGGAGTCATCTTTCTATCTGGGGCTTTGCTATATCGTAGCTTCGTTATCAATCTATGACGAATACAGCAACGATATTCTTGATATGCCTGAAGGATCTTGCTTCCCAAAGTAATAATCGTTGCTTTCGATATCTGTAGTTTTTAACACTCGTTTTCATGGCTAATATTGTTCATATGAACAGGCCTATGTACCGAAAGAATGCTGGTTCACAACCCGGTTCAAGAACATCTTCTTTCTCGAGGCCGGTTTCCTTCAAAAACCCACCATCTCGGTCCAGTTCTTTATCGAGCCCCATGACCGAGTTGAAGCCATTGGTGGTTAGTTACTCGAACCATCTGCTTTATAGATAAGATATCAATATTTTTGAGAACCGTGAGAACAAGTGAACAACCATTCATGATGAATATCAGATATCCATGATGAATATTTGTGTATATGCGTTATAAATAGTTGGTTCGTACGGTTCTCAAAATATTTACATTTCGTAAATGAACTTTTCTAGTTTAATCTTGATCTGATACATGATTGAATAGTTGCTTGATAGCTTATATCAAGAATGTCGTCGACAAGGGGAATTGATGGTTTTGGAAGGATTAATAACCATTAAAGAGATCGATGATGCAAAATCCGGCAAGGCTAGCGGAAGAGTGATTAGCATCGGTCTCCCTGCATATTGCCTCTTCCAAGCACTTCTACGATCCGCAAAAGCCAATTGTACCGGTATTCTATTAGGTAAAGGACAAGGGAAATAGCCGATCTCCCCAACCAACTTCATTTTACTTTTTAGGCACCTTTTCAATTGAATTCTCATTTTAGCCGGAGTTTACGCAAATGTCCTACGCATTTGCATAAACTCGATTGGTGGGAACAAAAGTAAGCAGATGAAACAAGATTGGTAAATTACTAAACTACCCATATCAAATTGAAACCCTAAAACCTTGCACAATTCGCCTACCTCATTCTTGTCTGACTAAGGGGCCGTTTACCAAACGCTTACTCGGGTGAGTGAACACCAAGTCACAATACCTTACCGGATGAATACGGTAATGATAAAGAATCTTACCCGGTAAGTGAGAGACAATGAACAAGAGTCTTACCCGGTAAAGTGAGGGCGACTACTCTTACCATGGTAAGCGCTTACCGGGTAAATTATTGCATACGATATTGTTTTGGTGGACTAAAATCTTATCCGGTAAGTAAATGGTAGTGTTAAATTTTACCAGTAAGCGCTTACCGGGTAAGTGTTTGGTAAACGGCCCCTAATCCTCTCCCGTGTAGTCCGTTTTTTGGTCATGGATCTGAGTCTTGAACATCGTATCTTATAACTAAAATTACGTGCTTTCATTTGTACTCCAGAGGACAACGTTACAGAGATAACATCCGCAAATAGGCCGAAAGATACGTTCTACGACTGGTTTCTGAATCCTCTTTTGGTCATCAAAGACCAGATCAAAGCTCATAATTTGACTGAATTGGAAGAGGATTACTTGGGCAAACTAGTTCTGTTGGGTGGTGATGCCGAGAAAACGAAAAACTCGAACATTGTCCCGCCGCCCGAGTCCGAGCTCAGACTGGCCGAACTAGGTGCATTGGCTCGAAGGTAATAACATTTCTCATATTGTTTCCAAATGGGTGTCCCCATTCATCGGTTTTGTTCTCATGAATCTTACGTTTCGTATGGAATTAAGACTTCAAGGAATCACGAAGTCGATATCAAGATATCCAACGTACAGAAGACGTTTTGAGAGTAGCATAAAGGCGATATCGGAAGAACTTGAGCGGAGGAACAACGGACGTGGATCGGAAACTACGTTCGGTCGTATGTTTAGTAACCAGAGATCTTTTAGAACAAAAACGAGTAATCGAGAAGATGATCAAGAGGCTGAAAGAGATGATGTTGTATGATTGTTAAATCTTACTTGTATTCTTCTATCTTTTAATCGAATAGATGCGAGGGCAATATTGGTATTTAATATTATAAGGATATTTTAGTCATTTCGTAAGTTAACAACGATTTTGTATTTATACCTTCGAGGTTGCGTTTGGTACAAGTTACATTACGAGACATAATAATATTAAAACTCGTTTCATCAAATTCAACCTTTTTTTTTATTAATCTGGATATTCATCTCGCTATGTGAGTCGATTAATTTCAGGACGACCATCTATTTTACGGGTAGCCCAGAGTCACTATATTTGAACATCTGTGGTCACAAAATGATTTTTATTTCTTATTGGATTCGAACCTGGGACCTCCAGACACTTTTAATCTTTAGAGCTCAAATTCAAACTAATCGGGCACCACACTTGTGGTCACAAATTTAACCCTTTTAGATCGTAACCAACGCAACTTTATCTATACCACACAATTAAATAATCAACGGTTAAAAAAATTATAATGCAAAAAGAGGATGATCCATGGTCAGGATTGAATTTAATTGGGTTGCACTAGTTGAATATTTGAAAAGGTTGCATTTGATTTGCATTCTAAAATTATAATCCTCAGATATTTCGTAATTCTTTATCTGATTATGTTTAATTTCTACATAAAATTTAATAACTTAAACAGGAAAAAGATATTAATCATAGAAAACATTCACCTGTGAATCTAGACATATATGAAGACAGAGTCGTAAATGAATTGAATGTTGAATGAACGAATATAAACACATTTTTGTCCATTTAATCAAATGAACAAAATGAACAATGTCTCGCGTGTTTATTTATGTTCGTGAACGTTCATTCATCTATGTTCTTTTAAGTTTATTTATATAAATATATTTAAATGTTATGACATTAATATATAAAATTATTATTAATTCCTTATAAATTAATTTTTTATTTTTATTTTTAAGTTTACCCAATCTTACATTTTGTTATATTATTTAAGAGGAACAAAATGGTTAGCTTTTTATTCATTTGTTTTATATAAATATATTTATATGTTATGAACATGAACAAAAAAAATTCCGTTCATTTGTTGGATTATAAACGAACGAAGACAAACAAACTCCCATTTGTATTCGTTCTATTTATCTAGGGGTGTTCATCCAAACCGTACACATTGCACCGTAAAACGCAATTTATGACCATTTTATCATTAATGCAATTTTAAACTTATAATTATCGAAATATAGACATAAAGTACAATTATACAAAAAGTATAAGAGGTTGATTGACAATTGCTAAATGGTTTAGTGCAGAATGATTAAGTGGTCAGAATGATTAAGAGACTCTCATGATATAATGCAAAATAAAATATAATTGTTTGGTAATTGTGTACAATAAAATCATGACTCTTAATGGTTAAAGGAGATCCATGATACAAAATTATTCAGAGGATTTTACAAACTATTAAGAGACAGACTTTTTTTTTTACCAAACAAGATTTAACTCTTAACGATTCAAAAATTACCTTTTAATAAAACTATTAAAAGATAAACAAATAACCCTTAAATATGATACGGTATGGAAGTCATATGATGCGGTTTAAACCGCATATACACTCGGGCTTATGGGTGGTCCGGTGGTCCCAAATCGGAACCTGGACACCCGTTGATTCATGTTCATCTACGGCAATTTCAGGGCTCTTATTAATTTTTTTTTGGCAAATCCAAGCTGTGGCCATCTCCACCTTCCCCCTTTTGACTTTTGGGAGGAGTCAGCTACTGGCACTCATCGTCGTCGTCGATGTGTATTCACAAATCATTTTATAATCATGCCATGTTCTCAAACCCCATTTTTCAAATTCATAACTCAAGCTTTGACCTTCTAAAATCATGCGATCCAGATCTCTGAGTCCTTACTCGATTCCAATTGCCGCATGATGGCAGGGTTTCTGGCCGTAGTGGTGGTGTTCTCTTTCATCATCGTCGGGTCGACTCAAGAACCACCGTACAGGATCCACACATTGTTTTCAGTTGAATGCCAGAATTACTTTGACTGGCAGACGGTGGGGCTTGTTCATAGCTTCCGGAAAGCCCGTCAACCCGGCCCGATTACTCGGCTTCTCAGCTGCACCGATGAGGAGAAGAAGAGTTATAGAGGAATGGACTTGGCTCCCACTTTTGAAGTCCCTTCCATGAGTAGACACCCTAGAACTGGTGACTGGTAACTTCCATCATACCACTTCCCTTTGTGAATTTATCGCAATTTTCTTCACATCTACTTCCATGGAGTTGATTAGGTTAAGTGCATGTTGTACCCTGTCACACCTATTTCTAAAGAACCTGATCAAATTAGCCTTAATTTTGTGGTTCATTTGGTTGTTTGCACTTCAAAATCTATTATGATTTAGCAATTGGGAATGTATCTTTTGCAGTCGCGTTACCATTTGGGGCACTTTAAAGTTTGTTTGTTAACGTTATTTGTATGATTGTGGAAGAATATACGGTCAGGTTTTAGGAAAACCGCAAAAAAGTAAAAAGTTGTGGAACACCTAATAACCATTCATCACCACAGTATAGACATGTGCATACAGATGATCTGTAAGCAATTTGTTCGGTATGCATATATGCATAACATGAACACATGCATAAAAACCAAGAAACAGCTTCAATTACTTCTATACACGTGCGCATACCATGGGGATGAACAGTTACCGGGATGTTCCCTCAGTTTTTCACTTTTTTGCAGTTTTCCCCCGAACTTGACCCTATAGCATATGCACAAAAAATCTGCAATAAATTCTTATATGTTAAATCCATTTTCAATTGTTCAATGACTCGTGATTTAGTACAAAACTTTTGAACAGATTTAGGGCCAACATACATGTGTTTTATGTAGCTCATAATGTAAATTCTGTTATCATCACCCACAGATTCCAGAATAGCACATGAATTAACTAAATTGTTATAGGTTCAGCATTCTTGTAGTAAGATTTTAAGATAAAATCTTTGTTTATTTACGACAGGTACCCTGCGATTAACAAACCAGCTGGAGTTGTTCACTGGCTCAAACATAGTAAAGATGCACAGAATGTTGATTGGGTTGTTATACTGGATGCAGATATGATTATCAGAGGCCCGATTTTACCATGGGATATTGGTGCCGAGAAAGGGAGACCCGTTGCTGCATATTATGGGTATAAATAGTCGTTTTCATAATCTTGATTTTTATTTATTAGTTGTTCTTGGTGGAAGTTTGTATGTAATGCCAATAGCTGTTTACCATAAGGATCTTGAAGTAGTTCCAAGTTTCTATCTATTAGAGAGTACCGGTTTCACTTTGTAATTCAAAAACAAAAACCATTTTCAGTTGGGAAATTACTAGAAACCCCTTGTAGTTGCAATAACTTTTTGTTGTTTTTCTCCATAGGTATTTGGTGGGATGCGATAATATACTTGCCAAATTGCACACAAAGCACCCTGAACTTTGTGACAAAGTTGGTGGGCTTTTAGCCATGCATATAGATGATCTTCGAGCTCTAGCACCAATGTGGCTTTCTAAAACAGAGGAAGTACGTGAAGACACAGCTCATTGGGCAACAAATATAACCGGTGATATTTATGGCAAGGGGTGGATCAGTGAGATGTATGGATACTCATTCGGTGCAGCAGAGGTAATTTTGATAGATTCTGTTCCTCTTTGCATTATTGCTTACGAGTTTCCTCTATTTGTTTCAAAATCTTAGATGCTATTATTGGAATCATCAGGTGGGACTTCGACACAAAATTAATGATAACCTGATGATCTACCCAGGATATATTCCACGAGCAGGCATTGAACCTATTCTCATGCATTACGGCTTACCATTTTCTGTTGGGAATTGGTCATTCAGTAAACTTGGACACCATGAAGATGATATTGTGTATGACTGTGGACGACTCTTCCCTGAACCTCCTTATCCCCGAGAGGTAACAAAATTATGAGCTTATTCAGCAACAAAAGAGCTTAATGGAAAGCTGTTTCCAAAGCCCATATAAATTACTTTGAAGTTATCGATTAGTCTTTTTACTTAATGCCCTTGTGTTTGTGTGTTTTTCTGTGTTACGAATGTGTTGATCTTCTTTATCTCGAGTCATCTTACTGCATATAGATACCAACTGTTAAGACCTTGTGCAGGTGATAGCAATGGAACCTGATGAAAACAAGCTGAGGGGACTTTTCTTGAATCTAGAATGCATCAATACGCTAAATCAAGGTCTCGTATTGCAGCATGCAGCATTCGGCTGCCCTAAGCCAAAATGGTCAAAATATTTGAGTTTCTTGAAAAGCAAAAACTTTTCTAAGATGACTCAACCAAAAGGTCTGACCCCTCAGAGCCTGCAGATGATGGAGTCTCATGTTGAAGAACACAAAGCAGATGAACCCGAACATGTTGAAGAACACAAAGCAGATGAACCCGAAAATCTACATACAAAAATCCATACACTTTTCTCCACAGAATGTACCCCATATTTTGATTGGCAAACCGTTGGTCTGATGCACAGCTTCCGCCTCAGTGGCCAACCAGGAAATATCACAAGGCTTCTCAGTTGTACAGAAGAAGACCTGAAACAATATAAAGGTCATGATTTAGCTCCCACACATTACGTCCCGTCTATGAGCCGCCATCCATTAACAGGCGATTGGTAAATTTACGTGCACTACCCTTGTTTTATCTTGTTATTTCAGTGGATTACGATCTGTTGTTTACATGTATGCATGACATTATCAGGTATCCAGCTATAAATAAACCTGCTGCAGTGCTTCATTGGCTTAATCATGTCCAAACTGATGCAGAATTTATAGTAATCCTTGATGCTGACATGATCATGAGAGGACCGATTACACCATGGGAGTTCAAAGCAGCACGAGGCAGACCGGTTTCAACTCCCTATGAGTGAGGCTACCTATATCTATTCTCCCATTTCTCTATTCTACTTCAGACCCAAATAGAAAAACGCTTATTAACTTTAAAATTTACATGAGTATTTGAGTTCCGGAAGAGAGAACATAACTTTATTAAACTTGATTCAAAGCATAAGATAGTAAGATCGTGAAGTAACAATTATAGGATGATATGTTTGTTAAATTTGTGAAAGTACTCTCAAAGTCAAAATATGCAGTAAATCTGATGCAATTTTTCTAAATAATCTCAGCTACCTTATCGGGTGTGACAATGAGCTTGCAAAACTCCACACTAGCCATCCTGAAGCTTGTGACAAGGTTGGTGGTGTGATCATAATGCACATAGATGATCTCCGAAAGTTTGCTCTCTTGTGGTTGCACAAAACAGAGGAAGTCAGAGCCGATACTGCTCATTATGGGAAAAATATAACCGGAGACATCTACGAATCTGGGTGGATTAGTGAAATGTATGGCTATTCCTTTGGTGCAGCCGAGGTAATTTTCCTATCGTGAATTATCAAAAGCAAATTTATCCCCTTGTTCTTGGTGAACGATCCCAGACCCTGGGGATATGACGAAGATAGGATATACTGGGTCAGTTTGGTTTGTTTTTTCTTGGTGATTGATGAATTTTCCATGTGTACCAATTTCTTGTGCCTTCCCTGATTATATCATGGTTTTGTTAATTTCTTTTTCTTTTGCAGCTGAAGTTGCATCATGTTATAAGCCACAAGATTATGATATACCCTGGGTATGTTCCCGAACCTGGTGTTAAGTATCGAGTTTTCCACTATGGATTAGATTTCCGAGTTGGGAACTGGAGTTTTGACAAAGCAGACTGGAGAAATGTTGACCTGGTGAATAAATGCTGGGCTAAGTTTCCCGACCCTCCCGAGCCTTCTGAAGCTGACCAAACAAGCGATGATGCTCAACAACGTGACTTGCTAAGCATCGAGTGCGGAAAGACACTGAATGAAGCTCTTCGTTTGCACCATGAAAGGAGGAAATGCGGTGATCCTACTTCCGAGATCCCACCGGATCTGGAGACGGTCGATGAAGGAACGACAGCTAGGAAATTTGACCAGCTTGAGGAAAGTAATCTTGTAACGACTAACAACTCTGCATCGGTGGTGGACTTGCCCGAAGAATCTAGCCAAACTTTTCTTCATTTTAGATTCTGGATGATCTTTTTATGGGCATCTTCCGTCTTGGGTTTTGGGGTGGTGATGACGGTGATCGTTAGAGGACGTAAAGGGCAGAAGAAAAGAGGGAAAGGTGTAAAGAGTAGGAAAAGATCGTCGCAATCAGGGTTCAGGGACGTGAACGACCAAGATAGGACCATTCGTGAAGCATCGTGAAAGCTCGAAAGAAAATCCAATCAATCTCTAGCTGGTTTCATGACAAAATTTTTAGCATAAATTGGTGGATGGTTCTAGAAGAGATCCTGAGTCTGGAAATCTTGAAATCCTGTCAAGATTTGAATGGCTAAAATGTGTAATCTGTTGTAATGTTGAGATTACATTCAGGAGAATGTAGATTTTGGGAAACCTGAGATTGTAAGAGTTGAAACACATAATTTACGAGATATGAAATCCTTTTGTTGTAATTCCTATCGATGATTTTAGTGTAATTGAAGAGATTGGAGGTGCCAACATTCGTACAACCTTACTTGATTTCAGAACTGACGAATGCCTGCCTGCCTGGGTCGATCGAAGGGGCAGGTTGTGCCCCTTGCGGGGTCTAGGCCCTGGGGGCTGTTGTGGTCCTACAATTTGTTGCTTTCAGCTTCAATGGTTATCTTTAGTGCTTGGCATTCGGTGTTTTGCCTTAGCGTGTTACCTAACGAATGGGTGCCCGTGCCCCTCACACTGATGTTGAGCAGTATCCGTAAGGATACGATGCGATCAATGCTTAATATTTGGTAAGAAAAAACATAACACACAAAATATCCAATTTATTGTTGTTTATATATTTTAATTAATTTATATAATTATATTAAAATAAATACTTTTATAACAAAAATATATCATTAGAAATTTTTCATCAAGACGATTAAAATAACATCAAAATAAAAAGTTTATATAGTTTCCAATTTTTATTTGTACATTTTTCTATTTTATTTTATGTTATTAATACTTAATAAACTACATAAAAATTAACCAAAATATAGAAACCGTGTAAAAAATAATATTTGAGGATACTAAAGTGAAAGTTTAAGAATACAAAATACAATAAGTAGAATTTAAATAATGAATAAAATGTTAATATAAAGACGTATTTGATTGATGTTTTAGAAAATAATTATTTTTTATTTTATTGTTATATTGGTAAACTATGGTAAAATATTGGTCTCTTCCCACATTGTTCCATTGGGTGAGGGTGGAACACCCCTATTCTACTTTGTTCCACAATGTTTATTTGGAAGGAGGTTTGAGGCTATGTCAGTCCTGATAAACTCAGTGACCACAATTATTGTGTATGTCTGGAATCGAACCCTGTGCAAATGGAATATTCCACCACACATCCAAGGCCTCAACCACTACGCCCCAACCCTTGTGGTTTTGTTCCACTATATTTATGTCTGTTTCACATAAAAGTCCTATCAAACATGAAACAGTGATTCATATTCTGTTATGTCATGTCTAATGTACCAAACGCACTCTGTCTTGTAATTGGCGGTAACTACCTAGTAACCACTATCGGTAATCATATGCCTTTAAAAAGGAGTTTCCAGTTTTGATCTTCATATACAAATATAACAAGATCAGTGTTTTTGTTACTGTTTTGCCTAAGAACTAAAATGAGTTTTTCGATTATCCCAAAGTGAACATTGTGACACCCAAGGATTCATAGGGTGGAAATATCATTTTTGAAGTATATTTCACAAAATCCAAAATCGATGGATTACACACTCGGATGTCTAACATTCTATAGATGTACCAATGACAATGTCTTTTCTTGCATATCCATTTTATTAATTATCTTTATATATAATAGCATTTAAAGTATCTATTTTAGGCAGAAAATATCATTTTGGGTCTTGTAAATACTAAACAATTCTTCTATAAAGATTTAATCGTTCCCGTTTTCTCGTTAGAGAAGTTTAATCAAATTTTAAGGTGTTTTACACCGACTACAACAAACACATCCAAAACCTGTCTCAGAAAAGCCGGGCATAGGGATCCCGAAACTTGGTCCAGGCCAAACCTCAAAGCCCGATTTGGCCAAAATTGTGGAGGTAAGTTTGGTCTTAAAAAATATGGCCTGAAAAAGCCTGGTTAAACCCGAAAAAACCCAGCTTGAAAAGGTTAGTCGGGACCTTTTTTTCAACTCCAAAGCATTGTCTGGACCTTTTTCTTTACTCACCAAAAACGGACGTGGGAGGCTCGGGTCTAGGCCTGAAAAAGCCGGACCTTGTGTATATTTCTGCAAGTGCATCGTCTTGTCCAAAAAATCTAATGTTGTTCTACACTTTTATTTGATTCCAAACAAGTAATTTGATATCAAATGTTTTTAATCATTATCTTATTTCATAATCTATATTAATTAAAATTAAGTGATGGTACTGTTGATGTTAACTTATCTTAATAAATCCTTTTTAAATCGAGTACTTATCGAATTTAATTCAATAGACAAAGTGTTGTTGATGCATAAAATACAAGCAATCAGTTTTATTAAACAATTATGACTCCATTATTGTACAGATAGAAACCAGTACAACAATAATACCTTCAATATGAACAAGGAAGAACATGATTTGATGATCCTCCATTTGATCAAATTAATTGAATCACTGAATTTGTCCAACCATATACCATCCATCATCTTCATGCTCATCTGCATCCGTATCTCCCAAACACAGCCCTACATCACAATAACTCATGAAATCATCTTCATCTTCTTCAACTACAATATGCTCCTCTGTTACGATTGATGCAAGTCCAATCCCAATTTCAACGTTACAATTAGTATTATCATCATAATCGTAGCTATATTCATAATCATCAATTGCATTCTCATATTCATCGCCATCATCATCATCATCATCATCATCATCATCATAACTTCCCTCGCTAGCTAAATAAGCTAAAACACCGGTAGCAGAAGTACCACAAGCAATGAGTCCAGGATCAGATCCGATCGATCTGAACTTCATAGTGCCCTTGGCCTTGTCTTTGGATTTACACGCCGGATGAAGATGACAACCAAGGCATCGTGTCTTACCTGCACATTTTCCGGTGAACTTGGATTGATTCGTGGGCTTCCGTAACACCTTGGTGAACACACCTGCAACGGTGGCGGAATCCACCGTCTTCACATATCTCCGTTGCGATAAGGGAGTCGGGAGGATTGCGTAGCTCCGAACAACACCGTGTTGACGACCTTCTCTCTTCATTTTGGATATGGTGGTTATGAGAGGTGAGGTATAGAGGATTACGTTGCGTTTGATTTTATAGAAGGAAATGTGCAGATTATTGGTATAACTTGGGGAAGAAGATGGTTGGGTTGGTCAACTGTGCGTGTTTCACAAGACTTTGACTTCACTTGTACTTTGTGTTTCAAATGTTGTACATTCGATTCTCTTGATTTTTTGGTTATTGTAGAAACAGTAATTTACAAAAATAGTCCCCGAGGTTTATATAAATCCCGGTTTTCGTTTGCTTCCGACTTTTTGAAATTACAAGGTGAAGGTTTCAATTTTATTATGGAAATGATATCTCGCTGTTACCGTTGTTAATTTGTACCTGTTAAGTACTCCATTCATCGATTCAACCCAAAAAAACTCAATGTAGGCTAACCCGACATGTGGTTGACACAAAATTAGGTCAAATCGCATCTATTGGGTTGGAATTAGGTTAGGGTAATTTGGATTCAACTCAACCCGATGAATCTGACGTCTTTCTATACTATAGTTCAATATGATTGTTAAGTTTTTTATTAATGTATGTGAATTAAACATTAGACCAATCCGCAAATAGCTCTATTCAAAATTATATCATAATTTTCAATCGTAATTTGAATTTCTTATTTGCACGAACTTCAATTTTTTTGAGTTTATTAGCCTTTTTTGTACGTTCTCATTTTGACCTTACTTCATTTAAACACAAACGCTTAGCTAGATTGTAAGACGTACCGGAGTTTCAACTTGACCAACCTAACCTAACCTAACCTAACCTGCAAGGTTTGGTTTGGGTTGTAATTTTGCAAACCATAAACATTAGGTTGAGTTGTTTAAATGTTTTATGTTCAATCCGGCCAACTCAACCCATTTGCAGCCCTAGTTCAAGTTCAAGTTCAACAAATGAGAAAGAGAACAATGGGTTTATAGAAGAAGGATGTTGTTGAAGTGGAGAAGGGTACAATTTGGAGAGAGAGAGAGGATCTCAGTCACTAGCGATGGGAGCCGATATGCACGACTGATAAAGAAGGGAGTGAGACGATGTGCAGGGCGATGAGAGTTTAAATTTAATGTTCTCTTAAATTTTTTAACATTTGTACACTTATTTTTTTATATTAAAAACACGCACAATTACCGCCCTCAGGTGACTTGCAAGTGGAGCACTTGAGGGACACGACTTAGCGGCCCTAATGACCACATATGATTTCAACCACGAAATCAAAAGAATTCTAATAACGTTTCTTGTGATTTCAAAAAGTTAACGTAAATCTCAAGGACGGTTTGCGATTTTACTCTTGTAGAAACAAACATCCAAGAAATAATAATTCTATACATTATTGTTTCTTGTATTTATATTTTTATAACAATTTATTTTCACAAACATTAATCTAAAATAAAACGAACATAATATATAAACTTAAAAACAAATTCAACAATAAAATGGTCCATAATAATTCAATTTTACAAGCTCTTCGTTACCATGGCTATCCGGACCAAAGCAGGTATTGTTGTTCGTAGAAAGAGAAACCAAAATAGGGTATTGAACAAAGAAGGGATTAAAAAGCATCAATAAATAAGTAATTTCGTTTTTTTAACAAGAAGCATCAACAAATGATTTTGTATCATGTGTTTTCCTTAATCATTCAATGTCCTAATTTCGTTGTAAATAATTATCAAACAAGTATATTTCATTTTTTTACTATATCATGAAAGCCTCTTAATCATTCTGACCACTTGATCATTCTATATTAAACCATTCAGCAACCGCCAAACAACTCATAAAATTTGAAACGAAGGCCTTATAATTAGAAACTAGAAGGGTACTCGTGCAAAGCAGCGAGATACATCTTGATTTTAATATTTCATTTTGTTCTGTATCTTAGGGGGTGTTTGGGATTGCTTATTAAAACAACTTATGCTTTTTTGTAAAAGTGCTTATTAACTTATGTGGTATCAAACTGGAGTTTTGTAAAAAGTGTTTGGATTAGCTTATAGCGGTACCAAAAAGCAATAAGTTGATAAGTTGTTTTTTTAGTGTTTGGTAAATTTTGCTTATACATGTAAAATGACCAAAAAGGACGTTATCTTGTTTCATTTCCAAAATGTCAAAACACACACAACAGTAACCAAAAACCCTAAATCGAGTTCCATCGTGAATCAGTAACCTCAAACCCTAAATTGTTCTTCCAAATCGAGTTCCATGGTTGAAGAAATCGAGTTCCATGGTTGAATAAATCGAGTTCCATGGTTG